CATTTGGACTGGAGTATCGTTTGTGATACTTCACGTCAGCCTTTGTTGGAGAGAAAATGAGTCTGAAGGACTTAGGGTCAAGCATAGCATTGTCTTCCCATCTTGCTGTTGGTTGGAAAGCTGATATTTAAAGGAAAAAAAAATCTTCTGGCATCTTCTAGTCCTTCGTATTGGAAACAGAAGTCTTCTCTGGTCTGACTGCCTCTGTGCCGAGCAGCTTGCACTGATCACGCAAGTCAGCGTGCTGAAAGGTGAGCAGCTGATGGGGAAAAACATTTGTAGTTGGTGTATACAATTCAGATTCTTTTTTTTAATATCTAGGTAGGTTCAATATTAAAGTAGTTATTGGAATTAATATAATCTTTGCCTCTTCATATACAGCATTAGAGCTTACAAAATATCTGGCTCTACCCAAGTATATTGTAACCTATGAGAAACAACAAGGAAGGAAGATAGCAATTCAAATTTATGATATTTCTATGCACATATTTTACTTTTTTGCTGTAGAACATGATAGCTAATTAAAAAAGTCCTTTGCAAGGCAGTATTGGTGGGGAAAGAGATACCACTTTTTAGTTACTATTTTATCTACTAAAATGTTTCCAAAGTATTATGCAAGTCTTGGAGAACACACTTGTTTTCCTCTGTTAAGCCCTTTTTTTTAATCATTACCGTTCATCTTTCTGCAGGTTGGTAACAGCCAACGCTAAATGTTTAATGGTTTATTCAAAAAGGACAATTCTTTAAATTCTTCTGAAAAATAGTTCTTAATACTGTGCATTACTAGTGCCGAAAAAAGCCTTTTAGCCATGAGAAATTCCCCCAGGTACTTAAATACCCTTCGCCCTAAAGCAATGATTCTGCAAAATGTGCCAGCATATGCTCAGCTTTGGCATAAAAACAAACAAACAAGAGGCACTGAGTTGCTGTGCTGTGTTAGCATATCTTGTTTTATTTGGAGCTATCTATATTGTGTGTGGACCTGGAGATCTATAAAGCCTGTATTGCTCTCCTTGCCTTTCCAACTATGTAGTTCTAGGTGAGAGCTGGTAAAGAGCTATGCATAAATGCAACCTTTTTTTTTTTTCCTGGAAAAGTTTGCAAATGAGCATAAACAATTACAGCTGCTGATAAACGCAGTCCTATTTTGCTAGATTCATGTGGTAACGAACAAGGACTCCCTAAAATAATGAAATGCAGGGGCTTGATTCCCTCTTCGCCCAAGTCACTCCGTTACCTCCAGTGCTTGAAGGAACTCTCGGTGCAAGGGGAGCGGTTCGCCAGCCTTCCCCACCGACGCTGCGTGCGGAGGGGTTTGTACTTAGTTCCACGGGAGCAGCACGTTAGCTGTTTGCAGGGGTTTTATGGGGCAGGACGTCGCTGGCTCTTCTGGCACAAACGCGCGCGTGCGTCGGGGCCGTGACCAAACCTTGCGGCCCTGATTTACAGCGCAGTTGCCGGCGCGTTCCTGGCCGCAGCGCTGACGGCTGCTTGCTCAGGCGGTCACTGAGCTCTCCAGAGCGCATCTGCCTTTGCCCCTTCCACAAACACTGGAGTCACTGGAGTGTTACGGACACTGCAGCCCCACACAATGAGGCGGTTGTGCTCATTTTCTTCCATTTTATCTTTGGAATTCTACTATTTAGGTCACTATCTGTTGCTTCCAGCTATTCTTTCCTGACAAAGTGTAGCTCTTTGGGGGCTTAAAAAGATATAATCAATGAATTCATCAATGTTATTCCTCTGGGTGTATAAAGATCTGGGTATAACAAGCACTATATACAGCATTACTTGCCATTCTTGAACTGCAGCCCCAAGATTAATTGCTCATTGTAGGCCAAAATTTGAAGAGCTGCTGGGTACCGGCGAATCCAAAGATCTGATAGAATCAACACAATAAAAAAAACAGCATTTGTGCATTTCTGAAATGCTTTAAACATGATCCCTCACCAACATGACCTGGAAGGGAGTGACTGTAGGTGCGTTGTTGCACAACACTCAATTTTAGATACGGATCGGGAGAATAAGGATGAACGGACCATTCACCTGATGGTGCCTGTCTTCTTAAAACAAACAGCCAAACAGAAACAGCTCGTAGGTGAGCTATCCCATGCTTGGATTTTAGTACGTAACGCCACTCCTAGTGAGATACTGCAATATCCATGAACAAAAAAATAATGAATGCTGAAATACAGGAATTTCATTTACATTTAAACTAAACCTCACTGATTGCTCATGTAAAAATTACTATGCTGTGAATGAAAGGAAGATGAGTGCTTAAGCAAACACTCATAAATTAATTTATAATGAAACATGACAGTCATAATTTAATTTGGAATGTACTTAAGATTGTTGTTACTATCTGTATAGGTCTTTTTTGCCTGGAGGAAGATGTGCCTTCATAGTGAAATGAATCTTGAAATACCAAACTTCTTAGGCGGACATGTGTATTAATTAATTAGAATGATGTAGGTACTTCCCTGATGAAGAACTGTTGTCTCCTCCAAAGTGTCAGGCGGAAGCTTGCACAGACGCTTTTGGAATTTTTACTTTTGCTATTGTAGTGGTTGCTCTTTGTAACTATTTCTAACTCCCAATGACTCTAACTTCTGCCTCCACTGCGTCAACCAGGCAAACTGTGCTGGGTTATGGTTTTCTCTAAGCTTTTCACTTATGTCAGATTCGCCTCAGGAAGCTGGTATAGAGGGTGCTAATTTTGCTGCAGGAAATGCTTGATCTGTTTCTAATGGGATCAAGTCACAAGAAGAGGAAATTCTATCAGGTTTTTGTTAATGGGAAGGTGATGGGCAGAGTCAGTGAGGGTGCGACCAGTAAAACATCTCAGGTTGCGTCTCCGTGTTGGTTAGGAAACAGTGTTCCCACATACCTGTGATTTCTGTTTAGAAAGCAGGGGTTGAGAAAGACCAAGCTGTAGGCCTTGAAGTGTAGCAGCTATTTACAAAAAATAAAAACCAGACCAAAACAAAGGTTATGATTAACTTAATGGGCGGGCTAGTACATGTGTTATCCCTAAATTGTCAAAAGCAATCTAAGTGTTTCAACTGATCAGCAAATGAAATGTTAAAATATGTCTAGGCCGTACATATGCAGTACTTGGTAAAATGATTATCTGCAGACAGAGGATGGAGGCAACTCCAGGTGTGTAATTTGTCAAAAACGAGATTGTGTCTTCCTAGAGTCACGAAGTTACCAAAAGCTCCTTTCTGGACCCGTCACGGTAACGGAATTCCGCGTGTTGTTCATTTGGGTCTGTGTTCAAAACACAGAGGTCTGTGTTCAAAACCTTCCCTGACAGGACGAGCTGCTCTGTCCGGGTGCAGCTCCTGGGGGCGGCCGTGCAGGGCCAGCGACCCCGAGCACAGGGCTGCAGCGCACGGTGTTGGCGACCAGCACGGCCGGGGCTGGCCCCGATTTGCCACACGGACACGCAAACCTTGGTTCTTTGCACAGCTTCACCTCCGCCAGCAAAGACCTCGCAGCGACCAGGCACCGGCCTGCCTTGTGCTATATGAGGTGTACTGTTATGGGGAAGTTTCTGCAAACGCTGCAGCCCGTTGTTCTTGGCCCACCTCAGTGAGATGCACAAGCTGCTCCTCCTCACCTGCGGCACGGGGACAGGGCTGCAGGGCACCTGGGGCCTCGATGGCAGCAGCCAGGTAGCACCCAGCTGTGGGCAGGGCAAAAGGAGCTTCCCTCTGTTGTGAAAACCATCTTTAGTGTTTCAGGACCGCAGTGCTGACTGCTGTATTTAGAGGCAGCCTCCTCCAGGTTCCAGGATCTTCATGTAAATGAACCCAAGGAAACACCTTGCCACCACTACAGGTAGAAACCTGAGGCATGGACCGACTCGGTGTCTGGTCTAGAGAAAAAAAATCAGGTAAAACCAGCTGGGATGCCTCTTCCCCCCCCACTTTTGCCTATTTCTCTATGCCTGCCAAGTACAGGATTATTCAAACCAGACTAAAAATGTTTAAAAAAGTACAGTTTAATGATCATTTACACATATACAGTATTTACATTCTTAAGAATTACCAAAAAAAAAAAAAAAAAGAAAAAGAAAAAAGGCACATCCCACAGCAACCAAAAGGTTCCGCTAACCTTTTGGTACAGCTCGAAGTTACTTATTTACAAAGCTAAATTACAGTCACTTTTCATAATGTCACATGTTTATATTAAAGCATTTACCAGTTGTGAAATATTGCTCAGCTTACCCACAGGCACTTGTTAGAGTTTGAGCTCTTCTGCCATCTAGCACATCAAAAACTCTATTTCAGCCCCAATTAACCGGGCATCACGCTGCATTTGTGTTTTAACAGACCTCAGGTTGAAAGGCAGGTAGAACTCGTCAGGCCACACGGCTCGGTAGCTGTCGAGAATTTCTGCTAGTGCTTTTGCTTATGGCTTGCTGAAGTGATAGAGGCTGGATTTTTAGTAAGCTGGGTAATAGCCGTTTAGGGAAAGGTTGTCAAGTTTTGTTAGCTATGGTCTTTGCGACTTCCTTCCTCCAAAAAAAAAAAAAAAAAAAAAAAGTATCCTCTTCTGAATGCGCTTCACCTTATAAAACTTATAGATGAAATTCCTCCTTCCCTACATATGGTTTTTACCCCCAAAAAACACAGACTAAGCAATCTCTGCATAGCCTATGCATAACCGTTCTTTTATTTTGGATGTTCTCCTGATTGTACCTTTCTTAAAGCCAAAACTACCTAAGAACAAAAGTTTGCATTTCTCAGTCTCACTTTTACATCAAGCCATTTATGAGTGGCCAGAGTCTTTATCTAGATTATTCCCAGAAACACAATGAAAACACATGCAGGCTGTTTTGAAGTCTTCTGTGTGTGTACAAATATTTTCAGACTCTTAGGATGTTTTAACTGTACAGCTTCAACACAATGATATGCTACCTGAACGCACTCTCGAACTTCACTGCCCTGAAGAAAGCTTGGAACAAAACTTCTTCCCCAGGCAGATAGAGCCGCTCACACATCTTTTAAGGACGCCTGCATTCTGGATTTTCTTCGTGCGAGAGCTTCTTGTTTTTTCCTTTCAATTTCTTCTTGAGAACATTTTCTGTTTTTCTGTTCCACCACAGACCCTGTCAATAACAAGCACACGCGTCAGGAGCCCGTTCGCTGTGTGTTTCATCTCACCTTGCCGCCTTCCCCAGCGCCTGGGGCCCGCGGCGGGACGGCGCCCGTGCCCTGTCCCCGGCGGGAAGGGGGACGCGACGCGCGGCCTCCGCAGCAGGGACTGGCCCGGGCCCCGCTGCTCCACGGGGGCTCTGCTGGGCCGCCCTTCAAGGGAACCCTGGGACAGCGGGGTCCACGCGGGACATGGCAACGGCTGAGGAAACGAAGGCCATCGGAGTGAAAAGGGCTCCGCAACTCAGTGCGTCAGGCAGAGAGATGGGCACCGAGACGGCAGAGACGCCGGGGTCACATACAGTACAGGTGTCACACAAATAAAACCAGAAAGGTTGAGAAAAGGCCAAAAGCGGCAATAAAAATCTGCAAAGGAGACAACACCATGATAGCTAAGCATAATATTTTATATGTTGTGTTGCAGAACGATAAATTCCCGTACAATAAAATCCTGACCTCCCTGGAACCAGCGGGAAGACTCCCATCATTCAGAAAATGTCAAGGTTTTCACCATTTATGTACCATTTTCCAATCAACATATTTCTAGCATATAGTCCTTCAAACTAAAACAAAGAGGTTTGTTTTTTTTTTTAAAAAAAAGTAAAAACCTAGAAGATTAAAAAAATCCAAACCCTTCAAATGATCATTTATTCTCTAGAATGGTCCAGAGAATGTCTGGTTATCTTCTTGTCCCAGTAACATCTAATTTTCCTACTTTCCACTTGTCTGCTACTTGCCCAGGTAGAAAACAGAGCTAAAAGAGGAATTCTTCAAATCGTACTGGGTGATGGTTTGGAGGAGTCAATCTGAGAGAGGTTTTTAATTTTTTTTCCTCTTTAAATAGTGCTTTTTGAAAATCGATATTGATACAGTACGTCCTCAAGGCAGGTTTCATCACAATTAACGCTGATTAAAACGTCCCACAGCCCTGAGATCAGTGCAAACAAGAAGCACCTGATTCCTCATTTTATCTAGGAAGTACCATCAGTGCAGGGGTTGTTATGTCTGCACCATCAAGGGGTTGCAACAACTCACTGAGAGGCTACAGAAAGGAATATAAGGTAGTTTTTAGAGTGAAAAAATATTTCACTGGCAACTTCGGCCACTGGGCTAAACAGTACAGGCCAGTGTTTCAGAAATGCCTTATGAGCTGAGCCCAATTTCCAGGTGTAGAATTACAATAGTAAATAAAGTAACTTTAGCATTCCATTTTTCCTGATACCTTCTTTCCCTCCCCTGCTATTTTTTATGAATCGGGGTGAAGTAATATTTTTGTTTTTCAATGAATTCAATGAATTAAGAGGCAGCCTTAGGCAGCAGCTCTTGCTAAGCACCAGAACAGCAAAATCTTCGCTCAGTTGGAGGAGGGCGGGCGCCAGCGCCCTCGGCCTTAGCCACTCTGAGCACCCATCAGCGTGTGCCGCCTGCCCAAGGGGAGAGGGGGAAGCAGCAGCCTAACTCCAGGAATTCCAAGGATGCCGGGGTAGCTTTATTTTGCAGGAAGAAAAAAAAAAAAAAAAAGTTCTAGACAGAACATTTACTAATGGCTAATCTGACGAATACCAGAATTTATTGTAAGCGGAAGTAAGAATGGCAGGGTTAGCACAGATGCTCGTACCTGATGTAGGCAGTGCAAAAGACTCTGAGAGGTGTCTCTTGAAAGGCAGTTTTGTGTTTTCAGGCTTGCTGTGCAAAGCCGTGTTCAGCTGATTGTTGCTTTCTCCCAAACCTTGCATAGTGATCCCGGTGCCGGAACGGCACTCGGGGCTTTCAGACTCTGCACGCAGAGTGACCTGAGCACTGTTTGTCTTTCGGAACTTAAACTTTGAAGGCACAAGTGGCGTTTTGTTGCCAGAGCTGTTATACAGCGTCCTCCCCACGTTGCACAACAGGCTATCTGATGCTTTGCTACTGAAAGTGCTCACTGCGTTAGCAGGACTGACTTCAGAGGCCGTCTTTCCTGCTGGCACAGAATTCGATCTGTACCATTTGCCTGAAATAGCCTTTGCAGTATCCTCAGAAGCCGCTTGATGACAGCTTTTAGGCAGCGTGTATTTACACTCCACAGGAGCAGCGCAGATCACAGTTATTGCACCCGAGACGCTGCTGCAGCTCGCCGTGGGAGCTGCTGTGGTCAGCCCGTGCGCAGCCCTGGAGCTGCTGCTGCCGGCAGCGCTCACAGCCAGCGGCTCCTGCTTCACGTTTGCTTTCTGAGCAGGGAGGCGATCGCACAGCCCTTGTTTAGAGGCTGGGAAGCCGTTTCCAGCAGCTGACCTGGAGCTGATGCCGGCTCCTTCTGTAGTTCTAGCTCTTTCATTTCCTTGTTTGGCATCCTGGCTCCAAGTCTGCTTTTCTATATCGTCACATACCTGGTACAACAATTCATCATCCTCACAGTTTGTGTCCCAAAGACTATCCGACTCACAAAACATATCCAAAACCTCATCAGAAAACTTCGGTTCAGTCCAGTCAAATGACAGAGGACCCCTCTTTGGTATCTCAGCTCGGTTCAAGTGACCTGCCGTAGCTTGGCCGACCACTTTAGTCACATTGTTAGGTTTTCCATTAGCAGAAATACTGGATGGTTGACAGGAAATAGAGTGTGCAGTATTCCTCGGTTTTTCAGTCTGTGGCCTATAAAGATTAGATCTTGAAGGAAGAGGAAGAAGAGGGTTACTTTTAGGTGGAATAGTTTCACTTCCATTCTTCACCTGAGATTGCCTGGAAACAGGAATACAGTTAAACTCATTGTTTTGGGCACTTTTCCAAGCAGCATTTATTTTGTCTGGCTTAACATCACATTTGCCATGAAAGGAAGCAGACTGTGTCTTTGACGTTTCTGTACTATTACATGACCTCTGTAAAGAAAGAGATTTTGCAACAATTTGTGTGTTTTTACTAGACTGTTTCAAAGGCAAATACTGCAAACTATTAGATTTGTGTAAACTCTCCAAACAAATTACCGACTTGCAACTACTTTGTTCCTTTGTTCTGCTAGCATCACAGAGACCAAGCACAGGTGGATTTGTAGGAACTGGTGAAGCCTCCTCCGTATTTATCAGTTCAGGATTTTGGGTTATTTGCATCACAAAAGAGTCATCTGTCAAAAAGTCTGCATCCCAGTCATCAAAGTCATCAGGAACTACATTAGCAGCCTTACTGCAGGCCACCACTTTCGTCTTCAAAGGATCTTGTTTTGTCAACAGAAACGTATGAGGTTTTGGAAGAGTCTGGTTCGTGCCTCCCTGTAAACATGAAGTATCTTTTTGATACATCTCAGAAGTAACATTTTGCTTGTTTTTAGTTGGCTCAGGAAGGTGGTCCTCCTCCAAGACGCTTTTATTTTCCTGGAAACCATTATTTAAAGAAATACCCGACAGTCCTTGGCTCAGCTGTCCACTACATTTCTGGGTGGAACAATCAAAAAGGGCATGAAGGGCTATTTCAGCTTCCAGGTCTATGGACTTCTGGCTGCTGGCCTGGCCCGGCTCTGCAGCAGCGATGCCCGTGCTCTCTGCCACTGCTTTCAGGGAGAGCGCAACATCCGCTTCCGAAACGTCCTCCAGGACCGAATTCAGGTTCTTCTGCACGTCCTCTTCACCAGTAGGCAAAGTCTCGGAGACTCTCCGGATGAAGTCCTGACAAAGCTTCTCCTGTTCCTGAACAGCATCAAACTCCACCAGATTTTTATCAAATTCCTTAGCCAGTTTCATTAGTTCCTCTTCAGGATTTTTTATTTTAAGATCTCTAGATTAAAGAAAAAAGATAAAAAAAGAAAAGTCAGAACAACAAATAAATATATATACATAAGACTACTGAGAAAAGTTTGCCAAGTTCAATTACGCTACCTAATTAGCTGTTTATTCTCCAATTTAGCAACTACAGAGAATATGGGAGCCCCATTTTCAATGCATTCCTTTTAATAATTCCAAAGAATAACTACTCTGTTAACAACAGATAACCCAAAGTTAAAAGCACTTTGTACGCTAATGAACAACTGCTCACTAGACTTAAACATCATTAAATAAAATGTCTTTTTTCCTGAAAGTTTAACTGTGATAGGCGAGACAAAACTGCAACTTACCTCATACAACTTAACTTTGTCCTAGCTCGCAGTTTTACTACCCCAGGTGTACAGGGAATGGCATCCTCACCAATCCATGTCCCTAAAAGGGATCCTCCACTATAGGCTGCTTTTTCATCCTGAATGATTAGATTTATAATGCTTAGCAATTTGATTTCAGATGAAGAGTGAACTAGACACACACCTTGCATTCATCTAAGTTGCTGAAACAATTAAACTGGAACAAGTGCACTGAAAGCCACACACAAGAGCCAAACCAATACAAGCCAAGCAAGACGGCTGCAACCGTCTACCGATAGTCTTAATTTTAGCAACTCAAAGCAGCAATTTCAATTAAAATAATTTTTTGTTTTAGAACTTCAAAGTGCAATCTGGGATCTGAATTCTCAAATCCCAGAGACGATGCTCAGCAGTAAAACGGCAAGTGGGCCAGAGCCAAATATGGAACATCAAGAAACACTCCAATGAGGCAGGGCAAACAAACAAACCCAAAACAAACACACAAAACAGAACTTTACTAATTACCAGGGTGGTTGGGAGAGAGAGAGGTGTTTTTTTTAATATATATATATTTATATATAAAAAATAACAACAATAATAAAAAAGCTATGTGAGCAACAGATGGTTCCAAGGCCAGTCCAATTTCTGAACAACTTGCAATCATGACAGTACTGTAATCATTAAGGAGAGGGAAATCGGCATCTCTTATCAATGACTTTGAAATTCTACAGTATAATTTCTCACTAGTATTCTAAATAGTGAAGACAGCCAAAATAACCCTGTCAAACCAGCAGGCAAATTTTGTAGGCCAAGTATTACAAAAGTCTTAGGAATGAATGCAGTTAATAAAAAGCAGACTCTAGTTCTCTTCTTGCATTTAATAAAAAGCAACGATAAAAGCTATTGTACCAGTATCTTATTTTCACTTTCCAGTCTGTGGACACAAGTTTCACAGCTGACATGATCTCATGGCAAACCAACTAGAATTACTGCAGCATTATCACATCTACAGCACTGTCCCTTTCAAACCACTGTTGTCCTTACAGTTCCATAGTCTGTATTTCAAGGTAATTCAGAATGCTTAAAATAACTGTCAAGCAAATAAAGGGTAATTTTTTCACATACTCCAACAGAGAAGTGGTTAAGGGAAGGCTACAACTGTCTTTTTAAGAACAGGGATAATAACTTGCATTCTGAAAGCAAAGCTTTCTAAAATGCAAATGCCATGGATCCATTTTTCTTTATACATATTTTTTAATAACAGCTGTGACTCAAGAAGTGTCAGTCAAATGCTATAGATGTAATTTTGATTCAGTCCTGCTTTGTGAGCATGTTACTACTTTTCTGCACTTTTCTGTGTCTTGGTAAGGAGGGTACTGTAACTGAAACTACATCTTTACTAAAACTGAATATTGTAACACAACTTTGATTATTGCTTATAGTATGCACCGTTTGGGAAAGAAGTAGTTACCTGAGGAGCAATACGATTAACAATCTCTGAAATTTCCACTGCGCATCTACTGCTGATCTGCTTCTTTTTTTCATTGCCTAAAAAAAAGGAAAAACAAAATCACTCTTTAGAAACTGCAGAGCGTGCGGGTGTCCCAGGCAACCCGGTGACACCTGGTAAAGCCAGAAGCCGCTGCAGCGCTGGGTGACAATGACCCCGAGCACGCAGGCTGGCGCCCGTCCCCCGCGCTCCCCCCGGGGCCGGTACCTGCTCTGCACGCGATGGGCGAGTGCGGGTCCCAGAAGATCTCCTGCTGCGCGTCCCCGTCGGCGGCGGGCGAGCTGAACGCGGCGCCCCGCGGCCTCCTGCTCAGGGACCTCTTGGGGGTCTCGTGCGCGCCGGGCTCTGCCGAGAGAGCAGCGGGTCCCGCTCAGCGCGGCCGGCGCCGACGAACGCGGCCCTAGAGGCCGCCCTGGCCCCCGCGGCGTCCCCGGCCGGGCGCCCCCAGA